TGATTGAGTGGTGAGAGTTTCATCATATTTTACGTAAACTTGAATTATGTGAATTACTTAAACAACATTTTTTTCAAAAATGACAAAGTTTGATTAATGCTCCCTTTATTAATTTTTCAAATACCGTAATATTATCTTTCTGCATAAATTGTTGCACCGTGAGTTGTCCGACCGTTGTAACCGAAAACTTCAGTTGATGAATCATTAAGATTGTCGATCCCACGAAGCTTTGTAAAACCTGTTGCCTGCAAAGCCTTATACAATTTATAGTGCAGATGACATATTAACGTTTATGTATATGTAAACCTTAAAAAAATATCATGAGAACAATTACAACAAATTACATAATATTTGTTTTTTTTGATATCCACACAATTGAATGAAAAAATGTTCCATCGAGTTTCTAAAAAACTGATTTGTAACAATATCGTTGTTGAAATCTCCGATCTAGAGATAACTTTTTGCTACCGGTTAGTAATGGACTTGCGACGGAGAACTACACATTCCCCGGGGTGCAATTACAAACTCGAAGGAGTGGTAAAATGTATGAAATCATAAAATGATCACGTGACTCTTTTGAGATACAAAATATAAAAACGTTTCTTAAGCCACAATTCTAAAGTTTTATTACACCCAAGTTAGTCGTAAACGGACATGAATAACTAAATCCACCATTAAAATATATCTTAAACTATTTAAATAAAACACTTTAACGGTTTAAAACGCGATATATTAGTTAAACTTATTTGAAAATGATTTTTAAGTGTCCCCGTGACCACGGCTGCTGCAAAAAATCCGAAACATTGGGCCGAAGTTAAAAATCATATTCAAATAAGTTTAACTAATATATCGCGTTTTAAACCGTGAAAGTGTTTTATTCAAATGTGTACTACTCCCGTAAACTGTAGACAGTATTTTATCTTTGACTATACAATTTCGTCGACTACAACTTTACAGATGAAAATTTTAGCAAGTGCGAAAGAAGTTGTATTCGTATGCATTGAAAACTAGCTCAGAATTTTAATACGTGCAATTTTATATTCATAAGGTAACTTAGAATATATTTGGAAGAGACAAACTTATTTGAATAAATTTTAATATCTTTGTGAGAGGAACTCTTTTCAGAACCCCAAATTGCATTTCCGTGTTAAGATTATTATATTAAGATACATTCGCTGAAACAACATATTTTCCCGTAAAAAGTATTATTACACTACAGGGGTTTTGTAATTAAAGAGTTACTATCAAATGTAAGGACAATATAATTAGCTTTTATTCATGTATTCGTCTGACATTTATTGTGAATACGAGCAAATTGGGGGGGGGGGGGGGGGGGGGGGCGGTGGGGGTGCCGGGCGGGGGTCCTCCCCATTGGGGCGCCGGGGTGAGGGGAACCGCACGGAACGCTGACGTGCCGGTTCTGCCCGAGGAAAATTATAAACATTTTAAATAAAACACTTTAACGGTTTAAAACAAGCGATATATTAGTTTTATTTAAGTGTGATTACTACTCGCGTAAACTAGATACAGTATAAAATATAACATATTAGTTTTTTTTAATAGTAGTTTCATCTGCGAGTAAGCGTTTTTATTCATGAAATGTAGTTTTTAAGAAACACAAAAATTCCTAACAGGGTACTTTTAGAGATTCTATTAATCTACTCAGACAAAAAAGTTAGGATATGTAGGTAGTTATATATTTTTATTTCTGCCATTCTTTTCAATAAAACCAACAATATGTGATATCGACTAATGTACATACAAAGATAAGAAAGTCTTTGATAATAATTATTATTTTTCCTGCGATTTGCTTCCACACACCGTTCAATTATTTAGGTATAAGGAAGTACAGACGCCCGAACGTTTTATTCACATGTTCTCGAGCTATAAATCTTCTGATTTACATAATCACATCCAGTATTTCTCCTTTTTCCTTACACAGAGCGTATTAAACATCTCGCGGAATATTTGTTTTTGCAACTTATTAAATTCCCCCAAACCGTAGTTGAGGTTTCTTTTGGTTGTAGTTGTTAATGGTAGTAGTGTATGGCTAATAATCAGCGGGCCGTGGCTACAATCCCCACCGTGTTTAACACGTTACTAATTAATTTATATTTTTTCTGAAATATGTTAGACTTCATCTGGAAATCTGAATATCAAATGGGTCGTAGACATATGGAAATCCCCTCATCACCGTGCACAAATAAAAAATCAATATGTAGATTTCCGAATATCCAAAGCCATGGCTTATGGGTGTGGCATTTCACCTTCCATCAAGTGAATCCACAGCCCCAGAAAACCACAGAGCATATTAAACATATCCCGAATATCTGTTTTCGCAACTTATTAAATTCGCGGCAACGGTAGTTTGGGTTTCTTTTAATGCTCCCAATGGAAAGTTGGATAGTAATCTCAACACGTACAAAGTATACGACTTTGTAGATTCCTGAAATGGGATCACTAATGGCCTTTGAGTTTGCTCAGGACCGTTAGCAACGCCGGATGGGATAAGGGAATACACATGACAGCAAAATATTTAGCTCTCATGCGTTTCTGATATCAGATTGTGTTTATTGTATAACTGACACATCTTAAACAGTTTTGCCTAAGATAAAATAGGTGATTGTAATTAAAAAAAATTACAACACTGGAAGGCCTTGAACTGGCATCCGTAGTGTATTGTTGCTCTAACCAATTGAGCTACTGTGTCATATGTCATAGCAACCTTATTACACTTTATATTGCGTGAACTAAATACTGTTTTTTTTTAAGAAAAACACGAGAATGATTAAATATAGATCAATTATTATTAAGATCTGTAGATCTTTACGCTAGTGGTAGACATCAAACACGAACGCTTTAATACACTAACTATTTTAAACTATGACTCGAATTGTTTTTATGACACAGAGGAGGAAAGACAAACTTGGGCTTTACTTAATGGAAGGTTCCATTTCCAAATACCCTAGCCATTAAGTGATGATAAGATGCGCTGTCGACCTTTTTTTTGCTTAGCATATTAAAAAATCTACATGGACTAAAATCGAAACGCGATTAAACTTCACGGCATTATCTGTGGACGATGGTATGGACCATTTGATATCCAGGTTTGCAGACGATGTCTCAGAAAAAATATAAATTGATTGGAAACATATTCTTTTTTTTAAATTTTGCAGCTAGTGATGACGGGTTTTCCCCTTGCTTGATCTGAAGGGGGCTCATGTTGGACCCGGTGGGGATCACCCACGTACGTTGAGAATTAGCTTATATTACAACTAGTAGAAACAAGTATAAATTAATATATAGTCTCCCAAGTGAAAGGAGAATTAAAAATATGATTACTATAGGTACTTGGCAATTTAAACCGACGATATTGTTTCATTTCTTTTTTTTGTTTGTCTACTAGAGGAGACCGACAATGCGGTCACGGAAGTTAGTACTCTGCAGATCCGCTGATTACGAAATCCAGGATTCGATTCCACGGGTCAGGCTATTTCCAAAGGGCAACTTGTGCCCAGAAAGATAGTATGTTAAAACGAATAAATCATATGAGATTAACTGTTAAAAAGGGATTTGCGAAAACTCGGCTAATTAATCTTCCGGCCACCAGCCACCATAAACTGAAATTGGTCAATTAAATTAAATTATTTTAATCAGCCAATTTATCAATAACGCTCCAATGATTCGCAACTTTACTCGTTCTGTTAACTCAATCAGCCAATCGGAGGTCACTTTAAACGAAACACTTAATTAGTGAGCTAACATTTCCATCAAAGTAGGAACTCTACGCTAATTGAAAATTTGCTACAATTTTAATGGTGTTATTAATTAAGGCTGCTAGAGGCAGAGTAGCCTAACTGTAGTCGCATGATTTTATATTTTTATAGTTTTCTAGTCTATTTCATAAAAATGCAAATTTCCTAAATCTACAACAGCACAGTGACCGAGAATTGATAACATAATTCTTACACAAATTCATTTTCGCCTATGTTAATTCCGCATTTTTATTTTCCTACTTATTGACAATCATGGTTTTTGTTATTATGTCACTCTGCTTCTAGGAGTTTTAATTTATAGTTTAGGTTTTGCATTCGACACTAAGGAAAGCTTATAATATATGATTCAGGTTCAATAGCCAACGGGCTATCTGTTGGTCTATTGAAAGCCCCTGAATTCTCCTGAATTCATCCGGATCGAGGTCTATATGAGGTTGTCGAGAGACAAAATATTTACAACTACCTGGTGCCCGCGACTTCGTCTTCGCTGGATTAGAATTTGGAGTAGCTTATATTAGCGTGACGTAGAAAAGAACTATCATTATGACATAATTATGTGTAAGTAACGTTTATGGCAGCGCACGCCGGAATAGCTCGCAGAAAGGTAGGTTTTTTCCTAGTTACTTGACACTTGATGTCATATTTTGGACAGCTTACACAATATCTTTATAAATTGTAGCCTATATGTTATTCTGATGTATAAGCTATATTATTGGAAAGTTTAATCGAAATCCATTCAGTAGTTTTTGCGTGAAAGAGTAACAAACAACCATCCATACATACAAACTTCCACGTTTATAATATTAGTAGGATTGCGTTTCAGCGAAAAAAAAATCTCGTAACGAAACTAGTAGAACAAAAAAGTTATCCGTCATCTGCCAACAAGCATTTAGCAAGCATAGTGATTTAAGACTTCTTAGGAGATCCCAGTCCCATAAACGTGAGCGTATTAGTCACTGAATGTTTATTCACATTAAATAGATATAATATGAGATTAAAGGCAATTGAATTGAGTTTCGTATTGTGGAACTTTGAGTTGAAAGTTTTTCAATTAAGGCTTTAGTTACAAAAAATCTTACCCGTGTAAATGATAGACTTAAAGCAAATAAAAAAATGCATAGAAACCAAAAACTTTTCATTAACTTTGCATTCACACAGAAATTATTTACAACTTTACAATACTAACTTTATAATAACTGAAAAAGAACAGTTCATAAATAAAACTCACAAATACAAACGATCCTTGTACTTATAAATAACACACAAAGACATGTAAAAGTTAATAAAATAAGACGTAATCAAAGCTAAATCTGAAATTAGTGCTGGAAGTGGTCTTGTAGCATATCCTAATATAACACACGCCCTTGCAATAGTATACACCCTGAATAAAGTAGTGCCGAGAGCCACTTGCGGTCCTGTTGTCAGATATAACGCTCCTACAATCCAAAAAGGAGCTAAATTCTTCAATTCCGATAGATAAGCCCTCCTTACAATATCAGTGTTTGGAAATATGCCCTTATTTACCCAGGTAAACGCTGCTAACGGACTCAATGCTAGGAGCTTTACAGCAAGCAACGCCGCGTGCACCATATAAGTTTGGGTTAGTGGTGTCTCCAGAGATATTGTGATGTTCTGCATTACTCTAATTATAACGATTTGAATTTTATTCTGTTCATTTTTTATTCGTTACAGTTTGGCACTGACTTATAACAAACATATGACATTGATGGGTCTAATATCATTGTCAAAATACGTGATAATTGAAATAGTAGCTTCAAAACATAGATCACAGACTATTGTTTTGACTAAACACGTTTGAATAAAACACTTTAATGGTTAAAGACGCGAATATATTATTATTTGATTTAACTTAACTACAGCCCAACCTTTCGGATGCATTGCAACAGGCGTGGTCACAATGGGACTGAAGACGGAGGACATTCAAAATCAAAATTGCTACGATAGCATGGAGAGATCATAAAATTACCTTTAGCCCCTTAAAACTTAAACTTTATTCCTTATATCAAACAAGGATTACATAGACATACAGATTATTAGCCATCAGGCATAAAACATGACGCTGCGATAAAAAAACAGTGGAAAATGTAAAAAAGGAAAAAATTATTCACTTCTTTTGTTCAAGAAACCAAAAAATATACATGAAATAATGATCCCTCTTTAAATATGAAAAAAATGTACGCGACAGTATATATCAATGTATCTTGCAAGAACGACGGGATACGGACGACGTCGTGCTTAACAGCTGTAATGTATTTTGCAAAAAATAATTTCTTTGCCCAAAATAACTTTTCCACGCGGACGAAATTGCGGGCACAGCTAGTCGAGAAATAACCGCAACAGATATAGAATATACAGCGCTAGCGAGACCAAACGTTCAGCTAAGTGTATAAATTATTCCAGACGCACTTTAATATCTATCTTTGAATACGAAATCCGTTAATGGCTAGGTTAAGCTGAATTTAATTAATAATGCGCACGGTTTTAATAGAACAATATTTAATAAAAATGTAAATGCTCATGCTTAAAATACTTAGTATTTAATTAAAATGTTAAAAAAGTTTATGGAAACGAAATTATCTGTGGTAGAATGGATGTTTCTTACTTTTACTCGCGTCTTTTACACACTACTAAGATTGAAATAAAATACTTTAACGATTTAAAACGCGATAATTTTTTTAGTTAAACTCGTTGTTGTCGACAGATAGTCTTCCCGTGACCACGGCTCCTGCAAAGCGTCCGATATGTCGGGCCGTAGTTAAAAATAATTTTAACTAAAATATATCGCGTTTTAAACCGTTAAAGTGTTTTATTTAAATGTGTACTACTATTATATTGAAAATGTATGATATCAACTACAACTCTCAATTGCACGAAACACTTTCCAATGACTTGGTTGGTTAGTGGTTTTCACAATCCACGGTAAAACGCAGTCTTGGGTTTGTTTTAATGTAATTGATACAATAATAATACTAACTCAAACTAATAAATTTAATAAAGCACTTGAAAACACAAACTATACTGTCCCCCGTCACCACAGCCGCAGAGCATTCAAAATGTCATAGTTCATAGTTAAAAAATAACTTATAGACTTCACGTTTTAAACTGTTTTTTAAATTTGTATTACTCACGTAATCTACAGACAGCAATAATATTAATAATATTTACCACCCCAGTGTTAGAAAGTAGATTTTATCACCATCATACAACGGTGCACGACAAGCCGTCGACCACGATATTGTGATTAATAGCGGAAGCACGACCACCCACACTGGAGATGCGTGGTGGGTCTAACTTCTTATCCCTCTCCTCTATTATAGAAGATGCCGCGCAGTGGGCCATTAGTTGAATCTGGTTGAAACGTCTCAGGTGAAAGTTATTCAATAATATTGTATGCGTTTAGTTATCTCCACACTTCCATTATCTCATGAATAATTACCTATCTCTATGCAAATGGTTTATGCGAATAATTGGTTTCTATCAAATAATTACCTATAGTAATATCATAAACGATATGATCTGTGCATCTATTTAGTATATATTGTAATAAAACACGTTTTAATGGTATAAAATGTGAAATATTTAACTTATTTACAATTTAATTTCAACTACAGGCCGACGTTTCAGATGCTTTGCAGCCGTGGTCACAATAAATTTGAAGTAAGTTAACTAATATAAACGTTTTCAAACAAAAAAAATACGGAATTACGGAATATAAAAAAACCTTTAATGTGGACTAACCAGCATATTAACGCGAACGAAAATCTAAAAAACAGTCACTTAAAAAAACTAAAATCTAACTAAAATTTTTACTTAATAACGACAAAATACAAATTAGTGAACTGTTTAATATCACCTATTTCATCATTCCATGCAATGCTAATGACACTTCTGACATATCTATCAAACTTCTATCTTATCACTGACCAAATTTCAAGTGTAAATTTTGCGGTTTCCAAACATGCCTTCAATAACGAAAATGCACAGCGGCGACTTATTACAAAGTTATTACTTATATTCAGCTGTATTAGCTTTGAAGCTGCTGGCTCTAAGACCGTTGGCATCTATAGTATGTCACCCGGAGAAAGTGCAGCGAGCCAACATAAGCGACTTGAAGAATTTGACTCCGTTCTGGTTGGTGGCTGGACTATATATGACTACATCTCCTGATCCTGTTACCGCTTTAACTCTTCTGAGGGCCTTTGTCGTGGCTCGACTGGTTGCAGCTGTTGGCTATATAACAAGAATACCTACAATGCTGAAGGAATTAGCATTTTTCGTTTCATTTACAATAACCGCTTACATGGGTGCGTGTGTCGTTATAGAATATAAAAATGCAATTTAAATTAATTTTTTTTTTTAATTATATTACGCCCTTTAATCTAACAATAACAATGTAAGCTTAATAATCAACGGATCGTGTGTATCCCTACCGGGTCCAATATTTTTCTAAGCAATTTATATATCTTTTAACATTTTGGACTTTATCTGGAAATCTGGATATTAAAGAGATTCTAGGGATATCGAAAATTCCGACCTTGAACCACCATGCACAGATGAGAAACCGTGATGTTAATAAGTTTCAGTCCATGGATTTCCGAATATGAATAGCCAAATTGGGTCGACAGCGTATCTTGTGGGGATATTATATGACTGGGCTAATTCTCGTTTCCTCAAGTTGAAGTACACTTGATTATCTGCCCTCCTTAGTCATAAAAAATGTACGATTCATTTTAATATTATGTCTTAGAAGTTTTTTAATGGTTTATATAAAACACTTTATCGGTTTAAAACGCGATATATTAGTTAAACTTATTTGAAAATGATTTTTAACTTCGGCCCGACGTTTCGGATGCTTTGCAGCAGCCGTGGTCACGGGGAGACTTGCATTGCTCTATCTAGATTTTAACATTAAACAGTTCAACCAAAAACGCATAAATAATCTGAATTATCTCAACCAGTATTGTAAAGCTAAAGAGTTTGTTTTTTTGTTTGAACGCGCGAATATCAGAAACTACTGGTCAAATTGAAGAATTATTCTATTTAATAGACTATTTAGTGTAAAAGGGTTTACGCTATATCTCATCATGTTACGACCGATAGGACCGTACAGCGCAAAATGTGGAAAAACGGGGAAAAATTATTCTTCACCATGTTCATCTTTAGAGCTTTTGTTCCGTGCGCTGCGAAAACGGTCAAGAAACCAAATAGTAAAATTTGGACGATCTTAATAATTTCCACGACAGTATCTTTTAAGATTAACTCACAAGTACGACGGGCGCGGGCGAAAGCGTGGGTAATTTAGCTAGTGATTTATAAAGATAAGGTTTGCAAAAATAAGTTTTGGTGCCCAAAAAAACCATTCCAAGCGGTCGGAGTCACGGATACAACTATATAGTAATATATGCACCTTATTTGATTCTCAACATAAGTATGTAGTTTTTACTCATTCGCATTTTTCAAATTTACTATTACTTATTATTATAAGCTATAGTAGTCTTTCATAATTACTAGGCTCACCCTTATATACCTGGATTAACGTTGTCAGTGAGGATTTGACCTTTGACCAAAAAGAGTGATTTTCAGTTGTTAAATTTTGTTTCAAACTCAGAGACTCTTGACATTTAAGTAAGACGTTTAATTTGACTTAAGATTGCAAATCTCCCTGGCAACTGTTAAAATAAGCCTACCTGCTTTAAATACTTTGATTTGGGTCTGGAAACCGACCTTTGTTGTAGAATTGTTAATGCATTCGGATATTAGGGGTCAGAACCGCTATTTTCATTATTGATTAAATAATATAATCATTTCACTACTTGCTAAATCAAAAGTATTCGTTCACACAGTTACTTTGCCTTCCTCGAGTTTCCTTCAGTTTCTTAATATTAGTATGTATTATATCCATTATTTTGTAAATACTATTACTTGTAAGGTTTTTAGAGTTTTTTAACACAAGTCGTCATACAAACAAATTCGCCCGATTAAATGTGAAATGCCCAAGCTTTTTAAGGTCTAATCAAGTTGCGTTCTCAAACTATTTTGGCTTGGTCATCCGGTAATCCATTAATTGAAACGGAAACGCCAATTTATAATTCCATTTGTGAATGGTTTGCGGCCGGACCATATATAATAATTCAATTAATTGAATATATAAATATTATATATCAAAATATTGCACCATGAATAGTGTAGCTATAGAGCTTTAAAGCAGCGCGAGAATGAGGTTCTAGTTTCGAATTCCGGGGAGACAATGGATTGTTTTGATCGGGAGTAATGAGAGAAACGGATTCATAAATGCGTTCGCACCATGCCCCGCCGGGCGAAACGGGATTTCACTTCAATTGCCTAAATCGAACCGCTAAAGAACATGAAAAAGAATGCCGTTTAATAGAGATTAAAACGAAACATTAATTTCTCGAAACAAATTTTTCCGATTTTATAAAATTAACTTAACTAACGAATGATTGTATTAAATTGTATTAAATTTAAATAAAATACTTTGATGTTTTAAAACGCGATATATATTAGTGAAACTTATTTTACTACTTGAAATAATTTTAACTAATATATGTATATCACGTTTTCAACCGTTAAAGTGTTTAATTTAAATACTGTAATAAATTTTTTAATGTAAGCTTTAATTAAATAATAACAACCAATATGATACTTTTAATTACAGTTGCTCTACTTATACAGGAATGAAGACATAAAATTGCGCAGATTCTTTTTTCAAACTATGTGTGTGAAATGCCGTTTCCCCCTCGTGGGGGGGTGAACACATTTATGTGTCCGTTTCACTGATCCGTTCTTTTAACGGGCAAGTAGTTGATCAGGCTTCTGTGGCCTGCCTGACCGAAACAATTTTTTGTATCCCTGGGATTCGAGCCCAGGACCTCTCGAGCTTAGCGCAATGCTGGGCCATTTGGCTACAGAGGCGGTTCCAACAACACCAAGCATTTATATTCTTTTGATGTTATAATGTTAATATTTATTTATTTTCAAGGCTTGATATTAGCGTATATGACCCAACCATTTGAATGCTTTGCAAAGCGTGTAAATATATGAACCAATATACTTTGCGTTTTTAACAGTAAAAGTGCGTTACCCACTTTTTTAGCTGAAAAATGTATAATATTTATTCTTAGACTTTCGATTGTGTTACGAGACCATACTATCAAGATTATGATAATCTCACTGTACCGTAAATATATTTTTACTTGGAAAAATCGCTACAGCAAAAGTTAGCGGTCATTTTCAAAGCAATTTTCTTCATAATGAAGATATTTCAGGAGCTCGCCCAAAAAACAAGTCAAAGTTGTTTTGCAAGGCAAATGGAGCCCCCTCGTCTGGAAGACCAAAAGGAACTTTTAACTGAATAATAATTGGATTAGATTTATAACAATATATAAAGTACTTTTTAAAATAACTCAACAAGAACAAACTTAACAGTTTCAAGGAGTATCGTGTATTAAATCACTTGCAGTAAGTCTGTATAGGTAAGTAAGTGTCTGTAGTTTCCACGACTAATACTCATTTAAATAAAAGGCTTTTAACGCTTTAAAACGCGAAATATATAACATATATATTTTACAATCAGTAACTAATATATAACGCATTTAGGCGTTAAAAAGGGGTTTTATTTAAAATACACGTACAACGTTTAATTTGATTATAATATTCACTAATTTAGTATCGGTAAGTTAATAATTCATGTGTAAGGTAGTCGTTGAAACTTGTCAAACTATATAAGAGTGACCTTGGTGACTTATAAGCCTTTCCTTGCGATAGTAAGATACCTATGTCCAGTTATAAGAAATTAATAGGTTTAATTTTTTTTTGTGTGTGAAGTGAAGTGTTTTGGAAAGCCTTTGCGAATATCCAAAGCCTAAAAATTGTATTTCAATTATACCCCATGCTGTTCTGTCCTCCTTTAGCGTACAAAAATACCTATTCTTAATAAAGCCAATTTCAAATCCATACTAACGTTGAGTGGCCTTTCAACTATGAAAAGCAGCGGGTTTTGAATGAAAACGCTAATAAACTGTATTCACCAAGTTCGAGAGGAGTATTGCATAGATCAATTCGAACGCGTCCGGCTTGCGAAACTGGACTGACATCTCAAGAGTCACCAACGTAGATATATGAGGCACAATACAAGTCATCCCGTCCATTCTCCAGTTGTATTTCACGTCGACCCTCCGCGCCTCTCCTTGATTGCAACAAAACAAAATGGCCTGTGAAAATTTATGTTCCTCCGTTGTAAAACGTTTCGGAATTTAATTTTAAATAAAACACTTGCACGGTTTAAAACTCGATATATATTAACTCGATATTTCGCTTTGGTGGTCACGGGGAGACACAGTTGCTGCAAAACATCCAAAACGTCGGGCCGTAGTTAAACTAAATTTCAAATAAGCTTAACTAATATATATTGCATTTTAAACCGTTAAAGTGTTTTATTTAAATGTGTATTACTCGCGTAAACTACAGACTGGATTTAATTTAATTTTAGTTTAGCAACACCGTTGTAATAAGTTAGGGGATTAGGGATGTAAACAATGTTCATATTATATCAAAACTCATAATGAGGAAATTAATGCTTCGTTATTCCTTTGTTTCGTTCGTGATAGTTCGATTAACACGAACGTTTGGGGCACAAGGCGAGTTGTATATATTGTTTTGTGTAAACGTAACAAATTTAATTGCCTTATCAAAAATCGTTGTTTAATCGTTTAAAATGATTAAGCCCTTTATGTACAATATATGAGCTGCTAGAGGCAGAGTAGCCTAACTACAATTTTATGCCTAACTTTTTTATATTTTTATCTTAACACGTTAATCTACAAAAGCACAGTGATCTAAAATTGTTACACAAATAATATAGTACCAGTTCATTTTCTCCTTAGTTCATTGAGTAGCATGTTTTTTGTTATTAGGCCACTCTGCTTATATACATTTAAGCTTGTATGTCTTAATGCTTGACATTAATTGTCATTATCATTTTGTATTATATAAGTTTGGAATTAAGTTTATTTGATTTTTATTATAATTCTTTATAATAGACAAACGTGGAAATCACTTGATGGTACGTCAAATACCGAAGCCATATAACATCTCAAAAAGATATGCTGTTGACCTTTTTATGTTTTGGGTATATATATATATATAAATAGCGCATATGTTTAACTAACTACAATATTTTTTGGTTATTAACTAACCATGGATGAGTATAGAATAATTTATGGTAATTATCCTCAATAGTTTGTCTGTAGACACACATATATTGCATGCTTGTCCTATAAGACTGTGCCCAGCCAATTATCAATATCGGTGCAATTATTAGCC